TTATTTTTAATTCAACAGAAAAATGCAAGTAAACAAGTAAAGTTGGTAGGTAAAATTGAGAAATTATTAAAAAAGAACAAATTAATTCAATACAATAGACTATCATAGATTAATATTTTAGATTATTAGTTTTATTTTATGATTTTTATAATTCTTAAAAATATAAATAAATATAAATATAATATTATTATTTTATATGTAAATTACGTGATTGTATTATTCTATAAATACACACCCTCTCTAAATGCATATTTATATCTGATCCTAAGGAATATGTATTTATAAAAGATTGATTATATAATTTTAAATTACAAAAATTATGTAAAATTATATTATTTTGTTAAAATTATTGAATTTTATATAAAATTGTAATTATTTATAAAAATTATAAACTTTATTTATGCTAATATATTTTAATACAATTTTATATAAGAAAAGTTTTATCTAATTTTTATATTTTTACTTGTTAAACTTATATTTTCAAATTTATTAAAATGATAAATATTATTAAATGGTTAGAAGCTGAGATGTAATATTTATTTAATTTGAGAAAAGAAGAAATATAGATTATTGAAAAGGTTTAGCAGATCAAAGATACCTTTTTGAAATAAAATTATAGTATAGTTTAAAAATTTAGAATTAGTTTTTACTAGTATTAAGTATAAAGATAAGATATTTTAATTATTTAAAAGTATGCTAAAGGAAAGTAAAGTGGAAGATAAACTCAAGTTAAAGAAATTTTTAGAAGCAATTTGAAATCCTATTTTAGAATAGACCTGATTATTATAGTAAAACTTTTCCAAAGTTATTAAAATTCAATATTATTTATGTTAGTGATGGCAAGTGATTTAAATGAACTCAAATGACTTAAATAACTGATTCTGCATTATTTAGATTATTTCCATATTAAATAATAAATAACATAATTATTTAAGAATTATATTATGTGATCTTAACAATTCTGGTTAAAATAATTAATGTAATTTAATATTTCATAAATATTTCATGTGATATAAATTTGTAATTCTGGTCAGCATATAAAATTTGGCTTGTATTAAATTTAAATAACCAAATGACAAATAACCTTAATGATCAAGTCATTCGAAAGTAATTCAGAGGTTATTTCAAAATGGCCAAATGATCTGATCATTTGCTATTACTAATTTATATTATTTAGCATATTATATAGAAGAATGAAGGTATACAAGTTTAGCTCAAAGTTAAGGTAAGAAATTTATTTAATTATACTATTTTAACTTAAATTTAATTATTTATATATTCTTAACCACCTACCAACTCAAATCGATTTGAATCTCCTGAAACACATTCTGATTCACAATTACCATAATAAACTCTTCTTACTATTTCTTTTTATTTTTTCTTTTTGTCTTTCCTTTTCATTTACTCATTCCATTATCTTTGCTTATTTCTTTTCACCTTAATTCAGTTTTTTTTATAAAATATTTTTCTGAATTTGCTAAAATAAAAACCCGAACGAAGCTTGTTATCTCTATGTGTATTCAGGATCAACAGTTATAGGATAATCTATATCTGGCCAAGAACAAGCATATATTGTTAATTCATATTTACCCCTCTTTAAATCAGCTGATTTCTGGCACGCCTCTAATCATATGATCAGTTCGGTATATCAAAATTTTTTTTTGTTTTATTATAAACTGTTATTCAATAAAACTTCTATAAAAGTTTTATATGTAGGAAATTCAGGTTCCGAGAAATTTTTGACTAATATTAAGAGCTTAATGCATTTTAATCTAAAAACATCAAAAACTAAAATGCAATAGAAATCTCAATTTTGTTAAAAATTCCTGGAATCTGATTTTCCTAGCAATCAACCCATATGAATTTCGGTCGGTATATTATGAACCTGGTGCTTGAAAAAATGTTCGGTAAGTCAAGAGTTCGTTATATCATGGGTTCGTTAGATCAAGGTCATACTGTAGTCCCGTGATAGACTTCACATACGTGATGTATATATTTTACCTTTTCATATTCAGAATTTGAAGAATTGGGATTTTATAACGTTATTATTGACGAATTTACATTTGATATTAATATAAAGACTTAAGAACAAAAATATTGAAATCTATGTATAATACGGATACTTTATCTTTAGGCTGAATTTTAAATTAATTTATTAATAATGTACATACAGAACGGATTAAATTTGATTATAATTTTGGTCTCTAAATAAATGATTTTATTCATTCAGATGATATATTCCTTCCTTCCTTTCTTTTTTTTTTAATCTATGATTTGCCTTTTTGAATTTTTATATATTTTGCGAAATCGATCCTAATTGGCCGATTTGAATTGATTTAAATTGATTTAGTTATAAAATATTTATAAGTTTAATCTGTTTTCTATATTAACGGTATATCAAAAAGAAAAAAATCTAAATTTTCGCGTACTTAAATTATCTTAAAAATCTTAAATTAATCGATAATATAACTATTTGCTGTTAACACATTTTTCACAACATATCTTCTGATAAGATCAATATGTTGATTTGTTCTGTTGCATATAAAAAATAATAAGGGTTCACATAATCTTTTCTCACAACCTTCCAGGAACACATTCAAAGCTTCAACATTACACATCCAACTTTCGGATAACCACATCATTTTCAATCTTTTCGGTATTACGTTAGCGATCAACTTCATCACGTTGCTTAAATCATAAAAGGTCGAATTATCATCATAAACGTAAAAATATTCCAATTTGGAACACTTTTCGAAGAATAAAGGTAAGTAGGGTATAACATCATTCGAAAAAGTTCCAAGATACTCGGTAAGGTTAGGACAATGCGTGGTTATCGTAGAAAACAATAATAAAATATTCTCGGTATCCTCTGGAACGACCCAATTTAAGTAAATACTCGTTAAATTTTCATTCGTATTCTTAATCAATGTTGAAATCTGATAAAGGTAGGGATGATCGATTTGAAGTTGAAGTTCACGTAACTTTGGAAATTTGGAATTCACAAATCTTTCCATAAGGTTCTCAACAAAACGTTCTCTATGCATGATTATTAACGTTTCCAAATTACTACAATTGGAGAAAATGTCCAATGAAAAGATTCTATTGATAGATAATGAAGTAAGAGAATTGACTTTATTCTTTAAAGCGTTTTTAATGTTTGGAATATTGAGGGTCATGGATTCTATCGATAAACCGAGTAAAGGCTTCTGTTGAGCTCGAATTAATTTTGCCAACCCTTCGTTGTCATTACACACGCAATCAATTTGTAAATGTTGAATGTTCTTGCTAATTTCCGATGCCTTGGACAAGATTTCCGATTGCATGCACCCGTCAAATGAAAATTCCCTGAGGGCTGACAATGAAACTTCCGCCCCGGGCAACAAATGAAGTTGCAAAAGCGCATCCGCAGGACAACTCAATTGATTCGATTTCTTTAATCGAAGTTCTTTAAGGTTCTTGCACCTCATCATAAACATCCTGAGTAATTGTTCGATTAATTGATAATTTTGAAATATCGAAATGAAATGATTTCCATCCTTTGGTATCGTATTACACATCTCTATCCACCTTTCCGTTGCGTTGGATAACATCACATTATCCAAACGTTGTAAGAATGATGCGTAATCGAACATTGTTCCTCTTTTTAACGTCGACGTTATCCCGCATTTGGAAAGGATGATTTTCGCTTCATCGCTCAGACACATGATGTAAGTTCTAATGGGCAGATGAATCCTATCGCGTGTGGATTTGCGAAGTTGAAGGTTCGCCAGAGGCTCTTTCCAAAGCATGGGAATCGCTACAGAGCACCATTGTCGATTCACCAAGGCACATGAACGTAATGTAACATAATCGAGGTAATCGTGGTTTCCTTCTTGATTGTAAGTAACTCTGAATAGCTTAAAGATCTTGATAAGGCATTCCGTCGGAAGTTTTCCCGTCATCTTTTTTTTATTTTATTTTTATTTTTTTTTTTATTATTAAGATTTTTTATCCCCTAAAAAAAAAAAAAGGATTATATAATGAGATTTTCATCATTTTATTTATATATTTTTTTTTTTCAAAAACAAGCATGTATAACTTTTTAATTTATGAAACAAAGTTTACTTATAAATCCTATCCTACATGTAATTTCTAATTTCAGCCTAAAACCTTTTTTTTTTCCCTCAAACAAAAGGTTTAAAAAAAGAGGAGAAAAAAATAATCACTACTATTTATCTGAACAAAGCAAATAACATAATGAGCTTGCTATATCAGGAAACGCCGAAAATATTTTTAGAGCGCCCAGGATCTATTTTTACCGTCCAACCGTATCACAAAAAAAAACCTCGATCTTGTTCAAGTACAATAAGCTTGTTATTGACCAGACCAAATCCGAAAATGGGCAACCCCCGAACATGAGCAGCAAGGATGACGTAAAGATTGAATTATCCTTCTTTTATTTCATTCCGTTTTTAGAATAAAACATATTATACAAATCAGGCGATCTCAAAACTCTATCCATTTTCAAATGTTTGCTTTTTATCAATTTTATCAATAAAAAATGGACAAAACTATTTGCAAATCAGCCCACCCAGTTTATTCTGATCCGGATACTTGGCGCTCCGCAGTCATCGCATCACACACATTACGTGATGTTTATTTAATCCCACAATCATGCTAAACCGCATATAATCTTATCGGTCATTATGATATTCTCTTTTGCCGAAATTGCACATACAGTTCATAAATGTTTTTTTTTTGTGTATTTATGGGCATTCCCGTGCAAAAGAATAAATAGATTCGAGAACTTTTTTTAGAGGATTTTAATTTATTTGACAAAGTGGTTAGGATCTGTTCAGAGGGTTCTTACATGAATCATTTTTTTTAAAGATTTGAAAGTATTGCTGGATTGATTATTTAAAATTTTAATCGGCACATCTCTTTATTAAAGAATTAAAAATTACTTTTTTTTTTTTTTAAACGATTTAAACGAACATTTATCGATAAACTTTTCATAAGTTTTAAGTTCTGAATGCAAAAACATAGTATTCTGGACAAGATATTTCACGACCATCAACAGCAAAGTTCATCCCATCGATCAAATGCTGTTAATTATTTATAGAAATTTACTACTAATTTTATAATAAAAAAAAAAAATAAATAAATAAAAAAAAGAGAGCATTTACTTGACCAGCTTTCCCAATTCTATCTTTTCCGTTATAATGGACTCTACCGATATATAATTCCTTACCATCCTATTATTAAATAAGTTAAAAAAAGAAGCTCTTTTTTTTGACGATTGCAAATCAAATGAAGTTAAAATGACTCACGGATTCAAAACCTCCTTTTAGAGGAATAAAGTTTTGCGGTCGACAAGCTCCTTTACTAAAAAACGAGGCAAATTACAATAATAAATAACATTGATTTGCATTATAAAAATATAAACAAATGATTTTACCATAAAACCCAATGAAAGTGAGATTTATCTCCGGTGAGAACTTCATAATGGGTAAGAAGATGTTCTTTTCCACCCCATCCAATGATAAGTCCTCGACCTTGTTTCACATATCCTACATGTAATCCTTCCTTGAAGTATGCTCTACCAATTGCGTGGTCTCCTTCCCAGAATGAATTTGATGGAACTTTTCCGTCGGAGTCTGCAATCCATTTTGCTGCCTAGGTAAAGAGAAAAATTTTTAGATTATAATCGAATGAGAAAAAATAAGTTGGATTTTAAGACATCGGGATACCCAGTGTTCTTGTGCGACTGCCATAATGTTTAATTAATGATGTGAAATTTTTAGACTTTTCATGAGAAAATCATCCAATTTTATATAGACGAGAATTATCCGCAGATCGTGGGAAAACATTTTTGCCAAGAACAACTTTTAAACCAAAAAAAAAGTTCAATGCTTGGCAAACACGTGTTGAAATGAAAGTTCCTCAAAAATTTGGGTTTAAAAATTATTTCGATAATGATAGTCCAAATATAGATATTTTATTTAATCTTGGCAAAATAAACTTGATTTAGTCGCTAGTGCGATGTGCGTCGATTTTGCTAAAATAATTATATGCTATTTATTACTATCACGTCAAAATAAAAAATTTTTTATTTCTAAAAACATCTATATGTATAGTACAAGTTTATTATTGCTGTTGTCATTGTATGTCCAAATGCAATTTTAAATTACCCAAATCGTTTAGCATAAAGAATACTGAATAATTACATTATCGTGATACAATTACATTTTCTCTTTGATAGTTCATATATTTGCAATGAATAAAGTTTGGATTATGGATTGATTGGTGAGGAAAAAAAAAATTAAAAGAAATGAAAATGTAAAAAAAAAAACTAAAATACACATTAAATTTGAGTATACAAAATATAAAATGAGAGTTAAAAATATTATAAAATAGTATCCAATGAATAAGAAATGATTATGTGGAGTTCAAAATATCTGAGCCATTTACTTTCTCGAAGGGAAACTTTTAATATAAATTATCGGATATTGAACCCTCACACAATTAATTCGCGTTAATGGAATCGTTGTTTTCTTCTCAAGGAAAGTTCATTCATAATCAGCATACATTTGATAAACATTGAAGGTTCCACCTGATTCCTCATCGTCTTCCTCATCAACTTCCTCATCATCATCATCATCATTTTGTTTTATAGAATCCTTTAAATTAAAAATATTCAAGTTAGTCATCGCAATCCTTTTAAATTCGAATTCAAAGATTAATTACTTACTTGAATATTTATAACATCGTCTTTATTTATGAGAATCGATTTTCTCGCAACTTTACTTTGAACTTTGTGCGCTTCTTCTTGATTAGTAAGATCGGCTTGGAAACGCACCGATTTCTTACGTACAAGTGGCTTTCCTTGATTCTCTTTATTAGATGTTGTTTCACTCTTTGGTTTATCGTTATTAATTTGTTGTGGTGAATCTTCAGTTGTGTCCTTGATCTTTTGATTTTGATTTTGATCTACTACACTTTCATTGTTCACGACGTTATGATTTTCGTTCATGGCAGAGTTTTTACCTGCTATGGCTGCTTTCATATTCTTGACCTTTTCCAAGTGTCGCTTCATTGCGTCAATGTCAAACCTTGGTGGAACTGGTCTTTGACTCACTGGGGCTACGACAGGGTTCGGTATAATCGTCGCTGGTTTAAATGTTTCTGTTATGATAGGAGCACTTATTTCGGGAAAGGAGGAAACAGTGTCAATCGTTTCTGGCTGCATCCTTTGTTGTACTTTGAATGAAGTTATCCCCGGTGAAGATTTCATTATCGGTCGTGACTCGTCACTTACCCGTCCAATAATCATACTTGATTGTACGGGTTTGATGAATCCTGTAGTGGATGATTGCTTCAATTGCGGTGAGGAAAGAATAGGAGCGTTTGCAACTTGATTTTCAGATTCATCTGATTCCATAGGAAGGTCTTGTTTTGGACCAATCTGTCGCGTCTCTTGAGCACGAACGTTTGAAGTTTCAAGAACATTTTGTTTATAGTCCGATTCATTATTTGTCGGTGGTGTGTTATTCTTGGTAATTTTATGATCATCCAAATTTTCGATTTGAATCATTCCTTGAATAGGTTGAACGTTTTCTATTTGTGCATTTTGATTGACAAAAATATTTGTGTTGATGTAAGGCTTGCTTCCATTACCTTGCTCCGAATTCACGCTACTTGAATGACTAGCCGATCGATCCTTATCCTCAGGTGTGTCATTAGATTGAATATCACGCGATTCACTTGTCAATGAGTTATCATTAACAGGCGTTGAAGAATCTTTGGAAAATAACCCCGGCACAACGGTATTGTCATACGAATTTGGCGTTGGAGGTGGTAGATCACTCGTACGTTTTTCATCGAGGTCAACATTGTTCAACCGATTATCTTCGACATTTGTGAATTTTGACATCATATCTTCCAAATCTATAAATGGTTGCAAGTCCGGCAGTTGTAAAGCATCCTTTTCACCATTATTTGAATTTGTTGATAGGTTGTCACCTTCATCATCATCTGTGACTTTTTGATTGATGTTATCATTATCATTTTCTTTATTGATATCTAAATCTTGAGAATCGCTTATATTATCTGATTGATTGGTCATCACCAACGAAGGTTCTTGCTGAGTATTTGATTGATCCTGATGCGATGAAGACACTGAGGATGAAAGAACTTGATTATCGGTGGGAACAGGCTCGCCTTTAGAGGATGATGGCGAATGCGGCGGATCTTCAAGAGAACGAGGACTATTTGAAGATTGCGACGAAACTCCTTGAAAGTGCGTTGGTCCTATGGGATATAGTTGCTGAAGTGGAGGTGGGCCTCCATAGTATTGATCACTCTGTGATGGCCCTTGGTACGTACTTTGTGGGTATGATGGTTCATTTTGCTGAGAGTTGAAAGGGAAATTTTGCGAGTTCGGAGAATTTGCTTGCGGATTTCGAGGAGATGATGGTACCGGGGAATTGATTAAAGGTCTTAATGATTCCATAGAATTTTTTTTTTGTAAGGAGTAAGAGGAATTATTAACCGAAGGTGGTCCCAATTGTGAATCATATGAATTGGTGGACTTGAGCGTTGGTTTAACAGGATTGAGAATGGGCGTCATGGGTGGAGTTGATGAATCATATGGGCGACGTGAATTTAAATTATTATTAACAGGGGTCATTTGAGGTGAAAGGGGTGGATTCCGATCAATCATTGATTTTATAGTGTCGAAACGCTGTTTTTCTTGGTCCTCAAAAGAAGTATAAGAATGACGATGGGGCTTTTGCACATATGATCCATCAGCACCTTGAACTTCCTTCAATTCAGGGTCAACTTCCCTTGGACGACCCCCAGTCACTTTCCTCCTAACAAACATTCCAATCAAACCTACGGCAACCAAAGCTCCCACAACAAGTCCGAAAATTTCACCCCCACCAGCACTATTATTATTGCTAACTGTGGCGGTACTTGGTAAAGCTGTATTGTTATTCGCTGGCACATTTGGATTTGGTGATCCATCGGGAAAGAGTGGCAAAGGGGTTCCTTTTGGCTTTTTTGCCTGATTAGGGTCCTTATACTCATTTTTGGATTTGGGATTGGCATCTTTATTACCTTGTGGATTTTCCTTTGGATTTTCCTTTGGGTTATCCTTTGCATTATCCTTTGGATTCTCCTTTGGATTTTCTTTTGGTGGGTCCTTTGGATTATCTTTTGGATTGGGCTTTGTGTTATTCACTTTCGAAGCTCCTTTGGTATCTTCTTTACCATCATCGTTATTTTTCCCATTAAATTCGCCTACTGCTTTGGGAATGTTTGGAAATTTTTTTTTTCCTGTTTTTTGTTTAACAGAAAAGAAAAGTTGCATTTGTTTTTAGTATCGTATCTTTTCCAAACATGACAGTTTGATGTAAATTTTCTTAATATAGGTGTACCTTTAAGTTTTTGCACACCCTTTCCCGATTTCGTTTTTGCGTCATCATCCTCTTTGACCGCTATTAATTAATGATAATTGAAACGAGGTAAGTTTTATTAAACGAAACGCTAATCATCTCAATCACTTCACTTTCATCAATAAACGATGAAACCCTCTTATATCATTAACATTGCATAAGCTATAAACTTCTAAAAAAGGATCATAAAGAAAGCTTCTTGTTTTACCTTTCTGACGCTTCTGTAACTCATACTCATCTCTTATTACATTAGAATAAACCATTGCTGCAAAATCCGATGAAAATGTAAGTTTCTAGTGTTAAATTATAATTATAATTAAATATATACTTTATTTTCTTGAATATACCGCAAAATGCACAGCATTTAAGGTTTTAACAAGGAAAAATATGGGAGGTGATGTATTATGAAGGAGGAGGTGGTGGCGGTGGAGTGGTGGTGCTGAAGTGGTGGTGGAGGTTGTGGAGTGGTGGTGGTGGGGAGGGTGGAAGGTTGGTGATAAAAGGGAAAATGAAAAAAAAAAAGAAAATGTGCGCGTAAAGAATGAGTGAAAGACAACGTCTTGTGAATTTTATAATTTTACTTTGTTCCTTTGCGTTCAAGGCAGAAGGAAAAGACTCTATCAGAGCATAGAGAGAGAAAAACAAAGTAACAAAAACGATTAAAAAAGCGGGAATTGACAATGTTTATTTTTCGAATTATTATTTTATTGATATTTGGCAGGGTATGCGTGGTACAACAAAAATCAACTATATCATTATGGCACCAATCAGGGAATAAATGCTAACAGATCGCTGCATGACATTTAATTACTGATAAATACAAAAGACAAATGTTAAGGGATCATTTATCAATGCTTCTTTTAAAAAGAAACTTTAATTCGTTTTAGACTATGAGTAGATTTCTAATCGAACCCCAACCTGTATAGGCATGTCACTTTAATTACTCAAATATATATATCCAATATACCTACTTAAAAAATACGAACTGCACGAAATTGCCTTTCCTTTTGTGGAAATTTAATTAGTTGTTATTATTATTTTTATTATTAAAATGAAACTAGAACAAAATTAGAGGAACACAGAATAAACATAAAATAATAATATAAAAGTTGAACGGAATTAAAAAAAAAAAAAAAAAAAAAATGGTAATTGAGATTTTTATTTTTTAAATTCTTTATTCAAAGTGTGCCCTTTATATTTTTTTTTTTTTTTTTTTTTTTTTTTTTTCCTCCGTTTCTATTGAACTTTTATTATTTGAATTACGCACTGTATAAATACTAAATTTAAAATATTTAATTTATTTGATTTATTGGGAATAGCCGCTTTTTTTAGATTATGCAAGATCTATCCTTTTGGGACAAGTTTTATTGTTTAAATTACTTTATTCCTTTATTTAGAATAACTTGATTAAAAAAAAGAAGAATCTTTACAATTGTCAAATAATTGTCATCACATGATCAGCGAAAACGCAAGCTTTTTTTTTTGACCTTCTTTTATTGGAATTTCCTAATCTAGAAGAAACTTGTACATCTTTGATGATTACAGGCAGGGCCCGAAACGGTCCAACATTCCGGCTGTTTCAAAAAACTCTCGTCTGCAGGCCGATAATCTTTTGATTTAAATCGCTGGAAGTTGTGCAAAAAAAAAAATTCATTTGAATCCCCAATTAAAAAGGGATATTCGAAAATTTAGTTGATGTCTCGCGCAAGTACGATCTTTTGGTTTTATTTTTGTGCATTCGCTTGTATTTTTAGCACATTTTAAGGTTAAGAACCATTATAAATAATTGTTATTATTTTTCTCTGATGGCAACTCTTGAATTATTGTTTATTGCATTGAATGTTTCACTCAAGTATGTGTATGCAGACTTCAAACAAAGTGAATTTTGTATTTGCATTCGTATAATGTATTGCAGTATTGTTCTTTTGGAAAAAAAAAAGAATGAGGAAGTTGGGTTCTCAAATACCCAAAATATCAAGAATTTTTTTTTTTTTTTCATTTTGCGTTCAGCCAGTTATATCATGCAAGAGAAATTTAGAATCACCTGTTAAATGGAGGCGAATAATCTTCATGCGTACAACGGTGATACTGTAATTATCCTTTTTAATATAATTTATATAAAAAAAAGGGACGAGGAATTTCATCCAAAGGAAGTTTCTATTGGGCCCGGTTTGATGAGATATTTTCACTGAAAATAGAATCGGGCTTTGAAAATGAATTTTTTTCTTCATTTATCAACAACTGATAAACAAAACAATTTATAATTAAAATGGATTTGGTTTAGCCTTAATGCTTGTCATCGGTAAACATCATATAAATGATTGCATAAAGTTTTTTTTTTTTTAAATGAATAACATATTTAGCTCAATTCAAATAAAAAAGACCCTTTTTTATTTTATTATAAAACTTTTTACTCGAAAGATGGAATTTTCGTTGTAAATTTTTTTACCTTTAAATTTTTTTTTTTATTTTATTTTATTTTTTTTTTTTTTATCAAATGATTTTATTTTCTTTACCTTTGTAAATAAAAAACATTCAAAAACGTAAGTCTAAAAAATTTCCATTAAAAAATATGTATATATTAATATAATTGATAGATATATATTAATGCATGAGGCTCGAGCTAATAAATATCCTTTTTTAAAATGAAGTAAAACGAAACGAAAACGACACGAAACGGAAAATTAGTAATTTATTTTATTATTATTATTATTATTATTATTATTATTATTCATTAGTATTATTTAAAAAAAAAAGACAACTTTACAAAAAAAAAAAAAAAAAAAAAAAAAAAAAAAAAGAGAGGTATGGTGAAATTCATTATACCATGTCTAATAATACTACTAGTAGTGAGTTTACGAAATATTGTTCATGCGCAAGATCAAACTTGTACAAAGAATAATGAGGCTTGCGTTAAATTGAATGAAATTTTGTTACCTTGTGGTGGGGCATTTGGTCCTCCGCCTATTGACGTTATAAAAAGTCAAACTCCTTTTGAATATAATGTGGCCGGTAAGAGTTGTCTTTTCTCTCTCTTTTTTTTTTTTTTTTTTTGATTTTTAATATTTTTTTTTTTTTTATTATTTAAAATTTAGACAAGAGTTTGGCACTTTGCATGTGTAATGAAGATGCATACAATACACTGTCAACCTGTTTATTATGTTTTGGAAATAATTACATTAAAGCGACAAAGTTCACACATTATCAAAAAACTTGTCAGGATTTTGGCATTTCATTTGGACCACCAATAAGTAAATCATCGGATTCAGCAACTACGGCAAAGTATATTATAATAGGAATATTTGTAAGCATAACGTTGATCTTACTCGCTGGATTATTAATGTGGTATTGGTACACCAAGAGATCCAAAAGGTCTCGAAACAGGGAAAATACTTCATCACCAAATGAAAGCACGAATGAAAATAATAATCCTTCAACGTCACAAATAATGATTCATCATCCCTCACCCGGAAGTGAAACGGTGGTTTCGGAAACGTATGATGATGATTACCCACAGATGTCAAATGGAGGATTACAACCTAAATATGAACCCAGTGCTTACTACACTCCATCTTCCCCTCCTCCTGTTCCTCCACATCGTACCGGTTTATTCCCCCCTCCCGGTACGATTCAACAACCGTCGTATTATCCATCAAATGTTCCACCAAATGTTCCAACACGAACTCAATATCCTCCCGCTCCCGATAGACCGTATTATAATAACGTTACGCCACCGCCTCTTGCATCGTCACAACAAAATTATTTTCCTCCGCAACAACCTTTTCTATCGCCTCAACAAATTTATCAACCTTCACTTCCCGTCCCAACCAGACCTCACCCTCGACCACCGCATTTTGATTATAATCATGACAGAGCAACTTCTCCAAATTATCATCAAAGGGTGCCTACTCCCCCTCGTAATTTTTATAATGGTGAGAATTATTATAGTCGATAATATATATACAATTTTAAAAAAGGGTGGACAATTTCATGTAATAAATTCTAGAATGAAAATGGTTTCTTAATCTTGTATACATTTTATGTAATAATATTATTCAATTGTAATTTAGCTTTTATGAGTAATCATATTCAATATCATTATAACAACTATAAATTAAAAAATTTCATCACATAAAAAAAAAAAAAATCTGGCTTTATCCCTCTGAAAAAAATAATAATGCCAAAAGTGATTAATTGCGCTAAATGATGTTAATGAGTGTTAATTGCTCGATAAAATACCGAAATTATCAACTTTAAATATCGTAGTCATATTACGATGTTATTTTTTATTATTTAAAAAATAAAAATGAAATGAAATATTGAATAAGCATGCGTTTGTAGATATAAAAGTAATGAAAATATTGAATAAATGTGTGTAAAATATTGTTAAATTGGAAATCAATCATTCTTTGTTTTATCTCCTCTGCTTTTAAATAATCCTCCATAGATTAGTTTTCCAATTTTAATAACACCCCAAATCAGTACAGCGAATATACCAACTACAATTCCGATCGCAGTAGCATAAACATCCAAATAATTTCCTTTAATGAATCCCATTCTGTTTTTGGGAGGAACCCACTCTTTATACAACCATCCTTCGTTAAACTCATTCGTTGGACTCCACGCTGAAACTTGCAAGACGAACTCGACCAAATCAGCGGCTCTATATTTCCTTTTACTATTAATCATGGCCAAAGTTTTAAGCCTTTTCACGTTCAATTGTATCGTTTCATTCTTTTGCAAACGTTCGGCCTTATCTAATACTTCACTTACTTGGAGATTATATTTATTCAATCGTAAGGCAACACCGGCTAACACCAATTTGTCGGCATTACTAGGTTGATCCAAAGAAATTGGTAATGCAAGTATTGGCGTTCCAGTATATAAAGATTCATATATACTACCAGATCCCACGTGACTTAAGAATACTTTTACGTTTGTATGATTTAAGATGGTAAATTGAGGTGCATAAGAAGTTATATGAACGTTTGGATATTTATTATTTAATACATCCAGGGTGGAAATGGTTCTACCATTCGATAAGGTGATTGAAGGTTCGAATTCATCCTTATTGGTTTTACCCAGGGACCAAATAACTCCATCAACAATATCGTTTTCAACGGTTTCAACAAGGGATTGTAATAATTTCATGTTGTTTTCGGGTGTTAGATATATATGCGTTCCTAAAGCTACAAACATCGTACGTTTATGCGCCGTAATAAATTGTTCGAGATCCGGTGTCAACGGTGGAAAATAATCTGGAAAAAGTGGCCCAATATCCTAAAAAAATATATACGCATATATTATTATTATTATTATTTGAGACGTACCAACATATCAAGTTACAACTTTAAAAAGACTTGCCTGGCAATTTGGAGGCAAGGGATGTGCAATCTAATCATATCATATAAGGGAGTGAGTGATATTATTATATTAAGTAACCTCTTTACACAATCGTTTACGTACCTCAACACCAAAAAAATTGTCAACCAAAAACAGAGAATTTTTCCAATAATCGAATGTAGTTCTTTGGCTTGGTAAGCCCATACTAACTCTTAATTCATTAAATTTTTTAAAGACGGGATCTAATTTCCACAGAAACCTAAAGGGTATAAACATTTCGCAAATAAATCTTTGCCAAAATGATTCATGTTCCATGCTAACTTTACATCCAGGCATAAAAATAGGCTCCGATTTGTAAGGAGAATGCACTCCTCCTAAAAATAATGATAATTATTTAATTTAAAAAATACACACACATATATAGATATAAAAAAACGTTTACACATTACCAACAAATATAGTAGCTACTCCAATTGATGGCTTCTTCATTGCCCAAGCGACATCGAAACATGCTTCATTATACACTGCAGAACAGATGAATAAATCTGGTTTAACAAGCTCTTCTGAAATTTTCTTCAGTTTTAAAAAAGTTTCATTAAAGGATCTGGCTTGACGTCCGATCAAATCGGCAGCTGCTGTTAAGTCATAATCTCCGTAAACTATATCTTTTTGATATCTTATATCTACTGAATCACCTAAAGAAATAAATTTAATTTTTGGATATTGTGGTGATTGCGGAAATGTTCCCGTTGTAATAAAAGTGACCTTTTTTTTTTAAAAAAAAAAAAAAAGTTTGAACAATTAATTGAGAAATTAATAATTATTTAACTTTGATTATTCACTTACATTATAGCCACGATCAGCCAAGACGTTTCCAATCGTCAAAGTATATCGAATATGACTCCATCCTAAAATTTAACGTAGCGAATCAATAAAAAGTTCTTAGAAAAAAAAAACAAAAAAAAAAAATATTTACCTTCTAAACTATTTACAACCATTATATTTTTTGGAATTTCACTACGATCAATATCAGTTTCTCTAGGAATCCATCCGCTAATTGGGGGACCTTCCACCACGGTGTCACCAGCAACATTACAAAACGAATTGCAAAGAATTATGAAGAGGAAGAACCCTGTTAAAAATGGTTGTTTGATTAACATTGAGGAAGTTAATGAAGGAAAAATTGCAAAAAAAAAGAAAGAAAAGAGAGAAATATTTATATGGGTGATGAGATTAAATTTTGGCGCAGTATTCTTTATCAGAAACTTTTATTATTGTGTAATGGTAATGTAATGGGTTGAAAGGTTGATGGTCAATGAGGCACAATGCGAATGAATTAAATGCTAGAATAATCTATTACAATTGTTCATTTCTGAAATAAATAGGATAATCGTATCGCAAATAATGCCAAGACATTTATTCCAATTTTGAATCGGTCCGAAATTAATTTGATTTTTTCATTACAGTAATAAACATACAAAAAAAGGTTTGTGGTAATTACGAAGACGGGAATGATCATCAAGTAATGATTCCCCTTAAGAATAAGTATTGCCAAAAAATTGGAGGGTCCGAGATGTATAACTGCCGGAATTGTGGAACTGTAAATCGAGATAAAAATGAATTTTCCACACCAGCTACAAGTTTTAGAAGTATAAGCTTCATTTTGAATAATGATGTGAACTCCCAATTCTTCTTCTTTGGCTCCTAGACGGCGAAATTTATAATGTGTCCAACCAAACTGTTTTTCGTGTAACTTTTCATTTGTCATATTTGACACTTCAAAAGGTGGAATGATGATAGCACCAAATTCACGAATGAAAAATAAAACAGTTTTTCTGTGTAGTTCATTTTGCAAATGAAATATTTTACGCCTCATACATGCCAGTGCTTTATTAGGTCTTTTAGCCTTATTTTTTTCGTTTGGAAGTTGACCTTTTAAACTTGCTTTTTTGTGATATTAAATTGTCCAAGTGCAAAAAATAACCGGTTCTCCTGAAATAGATGTTCATTGGCTGCCGCTTTACCTTTTGTAGATGCCATTGCTACCCCGAACAATGCACCCAATGCCATGTTCACAAATCTTACCTATAAAAAAAGTAATGGTTGGTGAGTGTTACAATTTTATTATTTTATTTATTATAACTATGATGGAGCTTTATAGAGCTTGTTTACCCTTAACCCATAATTCATAACATGTACTCGCTTAGTAGAAGGCGCCTATACTAAATCATTTCTCTTTCATTTTCAGATATTTATCATATATCACACTCAAAAAGACAATTGTACTGTATACGGTATTTTAAACTAAATTGTACTATTAGGCAGAATAAATTTTTTTCAGATGAAATAGCAATCCAATTGTTCTAAATATCAAAAAACAACGGTATTAAAAAATAAAATATTTATTTTTCTGTTCTTTTCTTTACACGTTCTAGACTTTTGGCGTACGGGAAAGGTTACCAATTCGTTCTCTCCTTAAAACAACTTTATTTGAAGACGGATTGTTTTATTCAAAAGGAAGAAATTGTCTGTATAGCATTTGACAGGACAAGTATGGCGTTTTCAGCAAGACAATAATCCTAAGCACACTAGCCGTATTGCAAGGAATTTCAACAAGTCAATACAATAGTCCCGACTTAACATTAGAGAGTCTATGGGAATACTAACGTGAATGAGGCAGCGACTAAGGTTGTCGGGCAAAACCAGTTGGTTTCGACAGGCTTCGAAATCGAAACTGTTGTAACCCGTAGTCGAAACCCGTCGTAACCCGTGGAAATCGAAAGATTTGACTTTTTTTCAAATGGGATTAGGATTTTGCCCCGTGAACTTAACAGCGACCAAAAATCTTGACGATTGGAAGCATAATTCAGATTTTATTACATTAAATTTGTAAAGATCGATGAGAAGGGCGTGAAGAAAAGTTATGTTTCACATAAATTTGGCGTCTGCATTTTTTTTTTATTGATAAATTTGTTAGTATTAAATTTCGATTTTGATATAAGGACGAAAGTATATGTCAATGATATAGCAAAGGAAGTTGAATGTTCACCCAGGGAACTTATTTGAGAAGAAGGAAGATTTTACCTTTTATCTCTAGAAGTTAAATCTTTTTGTTTTAAAAAAAAATGCTTTTATACTACAATCTTACGTCAAACTTAGAGTATAAATGAACTATGCATTTTCACTTTTAGACATCCTTAACAAAACAAAAAACAAATTAAATAAAAATATAAGAAATCTAGCAAAAAATTTTGTTTTTTGGAAAACAAAGGCTCATAACGACAATTGTAACGACATCAACAGTTGCAAACTCTTAACAACATCAACTTGTAGAGAAGAGAGACTTATGAACCGCATGGCACAAAATCGAAAAGGAGCTTCGTTAAAGAGGTAAACAAAATTTTTAATTTTAATTCCATCAACGCAAAAAAAAATAAAATTCGCACCAATGGAGAGTTGGCTCCGTAAAAAAGAATAAGCGTGCGTTTAGCAGAAGCAACTCCAGTTTAGCGGAAGAAATGTCTACCGATAGGAATGCGTTATATACAAGAACTAACAAGATAAGCTATAAGGTAAGGAAGCTGGAGATGCGAAGTAGAGTCATCTCTAGGGATGGTAACGGTAGGTCGTGGTCGGTCAACGGTCGGTCAACAGTCGGTCAAAGACCCTTGACCGACCGACCGGTTAATAGTAATATAATTTAGTTTTGGCTTAATAGAAGTTTTTAGCTTTAACAATTCTAGCATGGCATTTTTAGAACTACTTTGTCATTTTTATTTAGTGGCGCTGCATTATCGCGAACTTTAATTTTTTTTCAAAAATTTTAATTATATATAATGATTTTGTTAATTTAATGAAAACATTCTCAAGTCAGTCGATCAACCGGTCAGTCAAAATCGGTCAAAATCGGTCGGTCAAACGGTTAGGTCAGAAGTCTTTGACCGACCGATATCGGTCACGGTTATGACGGTCATGACCGTGACCTCCAATTCAATCAGCAAGGAGGTTCTATTATACTAGAACTCACAAGATTAGCTATAAGATGCAAAGTTTTCTGAGACACACGAGCATGCTGATACGATCGTAACGGCAATCATAAAACTAACAGATGAAATACAACTTGATATACAAATCATTCAGAAGGGAAGAAGGATCTGTAGCGTCATTCAGACCGTATAGTATCCCATTCCGAAACGGCGTATTTGACGATATGTCCAAGTTCAACTGTATATAACCGATTTTCGAATTTAGGTTCATGCTTAAGTGGATTTTCAAGATTGAGACAATTAGAAATCGGAAACATTTGGGAATGCCAGATACAACAAGGTGGCCCTTAAATAGGTATGTATAATAGTCAAGCTACATTTAAATTTAGTTTGAAATTCCTTGACATAATAAATGCAAAAGAACGAATTTTTATTCTTGCCGCATTAGCAGTAACAGGGATTGTCACAAACTTCATGTGTTTCATTTTATTAAGTATTCTGGGGTTTGAAATTTTCGGTAATGAAAAATCTATAAACGAAAGCTGCGAATTTTTTTTTGATGCAGCCATTGAAACGCATCCCACCTATTCTAAGATCCAAATCCGGATCTCAGATTTCAAGAATTGATGAATATAATGTGAAAATTTTAAATTCTTTAAAAATAATTGATGTTATTTCTTTATTTAATTGTATTTAATTTTTTTTATAAATGATAAGTTTTAACTTTGATAAAAAAAAAAGCTGTTTCAGAATATTTTCTTAAAAAAAAAAAAAATATCAATTTGGAACGCCAAAAATGTTTTTAAAAGTCAAATTCTCTCAGTTTTAATTCAACACGATAGTTTATATAGTTATATCTATCTAAGTTATATTATTAACTTTTAATTACTGCTATGAATTTGAAATAATTGAAATTTTTTAAACGCAGCCTGTCTAATTAATTCTTATACTGTAAATTCATTAAAAAAGTATGCATCAATGAAAACTTTATGAATTTTACAGAAATGACAGAAATGGAATGTTTTAGTTTTGTCAACTTTTGATATTTTTATAAATAAATTTACAGTAAATGTGAAATAACAAAAAAAGTTTATGATATTTTACGCGATTATACAAACTGAAACTTTATAATATTTAATAAGAAAAGATAAATAAACAAAAATATTTAAAAGAAAATATTTTAAATCTGCTAATACGGTATACTATTTTCTCTTTTCTTTCAATCCGACTATCGCTCCACTTACACCGGAAAGCCACCTGGACCAAAACTGGCGCTTGTGCCACAAAATTTCATTATTATTGAGTCAGCTATCTTTTTGAGTGACCTTTGTTTATAATCATATTCCCCCCTCATTGCCTCTTGGTTATTTTCAAGCCATGTAATCGATTGTTGAATTGCATCTTCAAGTTTCATCTTGCTTGCTAGGTCAAGATTACCAACAACTTGTTCGCTCTATTGATCACAAAAGATTTTAATTCGGAATATTGATGTATAATAAATATTAAACAAAACGCTTACGTGAAGTATATTACGTAAGTTATATGCATAACTTTCCAAACTATTTCGTGCCTGTATATTTTGTGCAATTTTCTCATCGTCTTCACGATATTTCTCGGCTTCAGCAACTATTATTGCATAGTTTGGTCAGTGAAAGACTTTTACATAAAAACTTCATCACAAAAGTGTGGAATATGATTACATGCCCATACGTTCGATTTCTTCCTTTGACAATCGACCTTTATCATTCGTGATGGTCATTTTATTCGATATTCCAGTTGTTTTATCAACAGCGGATACCTACAATTAATTCAAGTTAAAAGACTATTATGAAAATGCAACAATAGCGATAATAAAACTTGAATATCTAATACATGCGTTTAAGATACCGTTTGCATCGATATCAAAGGTAACTTCGATTTGTGGAACACCCTTTGGTGCTGGATGAATTTCAGACAATTTGAATTCTCCAAGCAAATTGTTATCCTTAGAACGGGCACGTTCACCTTCATAAATTCGAATAAGCATTTCCGTTTGATTTTCAAAATCTGTTGAAATAATTTCGGATTTCTTAGTAGGTACAGTAGTATTACGTTTAATAAGCGGTGTCATGACACCGCCGGTAGTTTCAATACCCAGAGATAAAGCAGCGACATCGAGTAAAAGTAAATCTTGAGTCTTTTCAGAAGCATCACCAGTTAAAATAGCAGCCTGAATGGCGGCACCATAGGCCATGGCTTCATCAGGATTAACAGATTTGTTTGGTTCTTTACCATTGAAGAACTCGGATACCATCTTTTGAATTTTAGGAATACGTGTTGAACCACCAACTAGAACAATTTCATGAATTTGACTTTTGTTTATTTTAGAATCTCGAAGTACTTTTTCAACATGTTCCATTGTAGATTGAAACAAGTCTTGATTCAATTCTTCAAATTTTGCACGTGTTAAGGAGGTATAAAAATCGATACC